AAATATAGACAGTCACCTGGATGCTCACCTTCCTGTGAACCTGGCCCCTCAGCTGCTACTCTGCCTCTGTCCAGCTCACCTCTCCACCTGCTTCGAAACGCTCCTCAGTCATCACCCAGACCAGATCTTTCCCCTCGGCTGTAAATAAATATATATTCTACTTTACTCAGTCTCCCTGAGTTTGTTTTCCTCTCCTACTGTTAAAAACATTGACACTCTCCGTGAGTTTCTGATACTTTATTAGTGAACGCGAACACCTGAATTCTGTTTCAGCGCTTAAGTCTTTACCAGACTCAGATCTGAAATCTGTTCAAATCAGATTAAATATGTTAAATGCATTTGACAACTATTTATTTACAACCACTGACACTATTCACATTATAATATTTTAATATTTAGTGAAAATATTGCTTTTTTTATTTGTTAGCCCAGCTGGAGCCATGTCTGGTGACCCTCTGTCTCTCTGGGTTCCTTCCACTTTTTCACACTCGAGCCACCAAGAAGAGGAGGAACATGCAGAGATACGAGCAGCTCAGCAGACTGCAGAAGAGGATGGAGCAGGATGGTGTGGACATTGTTGACTCAGCTGTGGTACTTGCTGATGAATAACAAAATGACAACTACATATACAAGAACACAACTAAACGTTTATAACATAAAGTGAATTGATGCAGAGAATTTTTAAATTGAAAGAAAACAGATCTGATGCATCTGCCTTTGAGAAGGATGATAATGGAAAGGCAATGATAAATATGTCCACTTATTCCAAATTTCAAATAGTTTATGCATTTCTAATATTTTAATGAATTCAGCAGACAGAGGGTTTGATGTTGCAGAATCTGTTGGACTGAAAATCCCAGCTTTCATTAAAGGTCTAACAGCTCTGGGTTAACTGGTTCATGTTGTGCTCTGACAAACCTGTATCCCACTGTTAAATCTTCACAGTTAAACATTATGAAACAGTGATATTGCATAGTAAATGAATAATTTCATTAAAGAAATAGATAACTATGATGCATCATTTATGTAAAAAGATTTTATTGAATGTTAATTATGGTACTTTTATGAATAAAAATATATTTTGCAGCCTGAAAAATTTGTGGTTCTGTCACATGATGTCACGATGCTCCTGAGAGGTGATGATGATGATGAGACCTCCTCTCCTCAGTCAGCTGGTGTGGTGGGACGCCTTCATCTCAGTGTAGGCT